TTCGGAGGGAAGATATAATCGGCCAGCACCCGTCCTATCATGCGATCGATCGGGCCGACGGATGGCAACAAGCGCTTTGAGGACGCGCGACATGGGAAACTGCCTGCGCCCGTGGTGGTGTTAGCCAACATTCGGCGGGGACGCAAGAGGGTGCCGAGCCTGTCTGGGATCTGGGGTCCGGGGTCCGTTCGTCTGGGTGTGGGAAAGGGTCGAACACAATCGCTGGTGGTGGTGTTGGCTTCGGAGATGGGTTTCCTCCCGGGAAAGGGAGGGAGACAAGACGAAGGACGGCATGAAACGATGATTCCTGAAGGAAGCAATTGTGAGTAGTAGGAGGAGACCGGTGTGATTGTGCCGCTGCCGACATGAGGCCAGTACTCTGCATCATCGATCGCGGACGCCTGCTCCTGGTCCTGCTCCTACTCTCTCGTGCTCTCTCCTGCGTTTTTGCCGCGCTGGCAGCCACCACACCCTATCGGAGACGGAGCAAAGAGAGAGCTCCTGGTGCCGGCCCCTTGGCTGTTGTGACTATTGATACCCCATTTCGCATTTCAATGGGGAGGACTCGGTCGCTTCCACCAGGTCTAGAGTCGGGAAAATGCATCTTCACGGCATTGTGGGCAAAGGGTTAGGGGACCGCAGGCCGACAAGTGCATAGTATCAGGCGACGGATGAGCCGAGAAGTAGCAGGCCATAGGTGACGGGTGGGTGAGCAGAGTGTCTGTCCCATTCTAGCCGGGCTAGACCGCCCGATGAAGCTGCAGGGGCGTATTTTGCTTCCTCCCCTTCCCCAAGGCAGGGAGCCAGGGAGCCAGGGGAGGTGACCCCTGCACCCAGGAGTGGCCGCGGTTTCCGCTTCCCTTTTTCTGCCCAGTGCCCGCTTCGTAGGCCTTCGGGGGGGAGATCCACGCAAAAGTGGGCGCCGCGGTGGTCCGGGCCCCCTCCGAACTCACCCCTTTTTCTTTTCGCCCAGGGGGCCGGATGAGTAGGTTCCCCCTGGCTGAGGGGGGGGGGGGGGGGTGACTGACGGTTGCTTCCAGGTCGGCCGGACCGGTCTGTGGTCAGGTATGTATCTGGCGCATTGCTTCTTTTATCAGCGGGCTTGTCAAGTCACCCCCCATCGGCGTCCAAGTTTTGGCGAGGGGAGGAGAAGGTCCGTCGGCGATGGCAAGCAGATGACGGTGAGGCGCCAAGAAGAGAGTGGAGGGTCGAAGACAATGGTGGACGGAAGGGGGATCCACGCTTATGCTCGGTCGGCGCGGCGGATTCCACGGAGGTTCGGTTGGTCGCCTGGGAAT